TATTCATTTATTTTATTTATTTCAATTAAAAGTGCAATTAGTCGGCACCAGCGGTGTAGTTTATAGTACGTCGAAACAATCTCTTTGGTGCTCACAGTGACCCAAGTTCGATTCCACCTCGCGGTCCTTTGCCGATCCTTCCCCTCTCTCTGCTCCCCATGCTTTCCTGCCAATTCTCTCTACTGTCCTATCCCACTAAAGGTGAAACCCCCCCCCCCCCAAAAAAAAAACTATTTTAAAAAAGTGCCATTCAAAGGCTTAACTGGGTTGATTAGGTCAATCAAATCAGGGTAATTAATCAATTCATTAGACAACAGTTTTCAATTTCTACAACAATTCTGTCTGGTTCTTGAATCTGACTAGCTGATAGCCATGCCACATTCTGCAATATCAGAACTCATACAACCTCTGCACTCTTGTGTATTACTACGCCCACACATAGTGACAGCAGATCAATAAACTTAATACAGTCTGACAATTATTGATGCTCTTGGACAACATAATGTACTTTTGAGGCTTTTTAGGCGAGAATGTAGTTGTTTAGATTACAACTATGCTGTTTATTTATAAGGATGGTGCCTATTTTAAGCGTGTTGGTGGCCATCAGCCTGTCATAATCATAGTGAGTAGAGCAAAGAAGGTTGAAGTTCTGTCACCAGATGGCGATGGTGGCTGCATATTAAGCCCTTAGAGCAGTGGTGCTCAACCATGTTCCTGGAGATCGACCTTCTAGCAATGTTTAGCTCCAACCCTGATCAAACACACCTGAACCTATTAATTAGGACCTGAACAACACTTGATAATTACAGGCAGGTGTGTTTGATATGGGTTGCAACTGAAATCTGCAGGAAGGTCGATCTCCAGGAACAGGGTTGGTCACGTCTGCCTTAGAGGGAGAAAAACTCTGAATAAATCATTACTGGTAAGTGATATTTGGTAAGTTGATATTTCTCTTTTGTATGTTGTAGTGCTGTATTTATACTATAGGAATCTGGTAGATTTTGCTTTGCTTTTGTTTTCTCTGGGTTAATTATTATGAAATCCTGTTGCAGAAATACTGGGAAATCTCTGTAGACTGATGGCATTTCATGCTGTTCAGCCTTATAATCTTAAAATGTGAATCATTAAAATCATTTTAGACATTACACTAGAGAATCATTCATATACTAGCTCTAAAGTCACGCTGGTGTATTAGCATTGTTTTCTGCTGTTCTGATTGTCAGCTGCAGTTGCAAACGAACTGCAGAGGAAAGTAGTTCCTCATACAAAAGGATTTTTGAGACTTTCATTGTTTGATTTTTGTTTAAATATAGACAATTATGCCACTGAACTGTTGTATAAACGCAACACTCAGTTAAACATCACAAGAGAAACATTTGAAAAAAAAAAATTACAGGAGAGCTAATATTTTTGCCCTCAACTATATATATATATATATATATATATATATATATATATATTTTTTTTTTTTTTTTTTTTTCAATATTTCCCAAATTTTGTTTAACAGTGCAAGGACATTTTCACAGGATGTCAGATAATATTTTTTCTTCTTAAGAAAGTCTTATTTGTTTTATTCCGGCTAAAATAAAAGCAGTTTTTAATTTTTTACAAGCTATTTTAAGGACAAAATTATTCGCTCCTTTATGCTATATATTTTTTCAATAGTCTACAGAACAAACCATCATCATACAATAACTTGCCTAATTACCCTAACCTGCCTAGTTAACCTAACTAACCTAAGCCTTTAAATGTCAGTTTAAGCTGTATAGAAGTGTTTTAAAAAATATCTAGTCAAATATTATTTACTGTCATCATGGCAAAGATAAAATAAACCAGTTATTAGAAATGAGTAATTAAAACTATTATGTTTAGAAATGTGCTGAAAAAATCTGCTCTCCATTAAACAGAAATTGGTGGAACAAATACAAAAAAACAAGGCGACTAATAATTCAGTGGGTCTAATAATTCTGACTTCAACTGTATGCACACTTTTCCCATATGCTTTACAGACAGGTGATGGAAATTTGACATAATATAGCTAATAAAAATGCCTAATAAGAAAGAAAGCATGCAATACCTTTGTGTCTGCCTACATAGGGGTTGAAGAGGATCAAACAGGAAGGGAGATGTCAACAAGGACGAAGAAAGAAAAGAGAAAGAGAGGGAAAATTGTAGGATGAAAGTTATTGTGGACCCTGACACATAGGAACAGATTGGCATGCACTATGAAATCGTTTGAACATCTGGCGAGCAGCAATAGCCATCATTTCACCATCTCAGGTAACTAGTCTGGCTATGTATGACCCTCAAAATAGTGTAGGGTCACACTTTATTTTGATGGTCTGTTTGTTGAATCTAAGTTACATTGCATCTACATGCCAACTAATTCTCATTGGATTATACAGAGACTGTTAGGTTGCCCAGCAGAATAATATTTAATTCATATGCATATAATTTGATTTTTTTTTCACCCTCAAATTAACAGATGCTAAGGGACAAAGTTCCACGCTATTTTGTATTTTTGGTCTGGAAGACAGGCATATGTTGGTCTTTCTCCATAAGGACAAGATAACTGTATGTCCGGTTCAGAGGCTTTCAGTGCACAAGCACTTGAATAAAGGACGTTTAATGGATTCATGCCAATGTAGCTCCTTGCCTCCACTTAGAATCCACTATACATTTCTGTGCCAAGTGATAGAAAGAGAAAAATGATATATAGTTAGAGTGGTGTGAAAAAAGGCAAACACTTTTACGCAGGGCTATGTAGTTTTACATTTTGCTTTCCCTTATAAATAAAGCCCCTTCACCTAAAAACTGCATGATGTGTTTACTGATATTTACATTCGTTTGATGATCTAAAACATTAAAGTGTGACAAACCAGCCGATTGGAATGTTATTACTTTCGGCTGCGGTCGGAAGTTAACGAGAATTATTTGTATTATTTATTTAATTTCCCATTAGTTGTATTTTATCAAACCCAAATGTCACAGTAATGTAAAAACAGATCTAAACAGATCTAGATCTAGAGTTCCCTCTATTAATATAGTTCATTAACCACAAGATTTATTTATATTATTTAATAAATGTCCCATTTATTGTATTTTATTAACGTCTACCCCAACCCTAAACCCAATCGTCACAGTAATGTAAAAACAGATCTGGATGTGGAGTCTTCTCTATTAGTATAGTTCATTGACCGCAAGCATTGTTTAAATTATTTAATAAATGTCCCATTTATTGTGTTTTAGTAACGTCTACCCCAACCCTAAATCCAAATGTCACAGTAATGTAAAAACAGATCTAAACAGATCTAGATCTAGAGTTCCCTCTAATAATATAGTTCATTAACCACAATAATTATTTATATTATTTAATAAATGTCCCATTTATTGTGTTTTATTAACGTCTACCCCAACCCTAAACCCAATCGTCACAGTAATGTAAAAACAGATCTGGATCTTTAGTCTTCTCTATTAATATAGTTCATTGACCACAAGCATTGTTTAAATTATTTAACAAATGTCCCATTTATTGTGTTTTAGTAACGTCTACCCCAACCCTAAACCCAATCGTCACAGTAATATAAAAACAGATCTGGATGTGGAGTCTTCTCTATTAATGTTCATTGACCACAAGCATTATTTATATTATTTAATAAATGTCCCATTTATTTATTTATTTATTTCCCATTTATTGTGTTTTAGTAACGTCTACCCCAACCCTAAATCTAAATGTCTTAGTAATGTAAAAATAGATCTAAACATATCTAGATCTAAAGTCTTTTCTATTAATATAGTTCATTAACTACAATAATAATTTATATTATTTATTAAATGTCCCATTAATTATGTTTTATTAATGTCTACCCCAACCCTAAACCCAAGCTTCACAGTAATCTAAAAACAGACCTGGATCTGGTGACTCTTCTATTAGTATAGCTCAGGGGTGGTCAACCCTGTTCCTGGAGAGCCCCCTTCCTGCAGATTTCAGTTGCTACCCATATCAAACACACCTGAACCAATTAATTAGGACCTGAACAGCACGTGATAATTACAGGCAGGTGTGTTTGATACGGTTTGCAACTGAAATCTGCAGGAAGGTGGCTCTGCAGGAACAGGGTTGGCCACCCCTGGTATAGCTGATTAACCATGTTGATGGATGATAACAGCCTTTTGAGATTACCAGTAGGCACAGACGGCCCTTACTGGCCCATATCTATCAGCAGATAACCACGAATAACGTCCGTTCAGTCATGTGATAACATTCGAAGCGGGTGGACAAACATGCAAATAAAAAAAATCAAAAGGGGGGCATATACTTTTTCACACCACTGTCTACATTTTAGCAGAAACAGACAAATCTATTTACACTCTATTTACACATATTGCTACATTTGAAACAATTTCCTAACTCTTTTTCACTATCTAATCATGTGTGTGTGTTTTATTTTATTTAAAAACATTATTATTATATTCCATCAGCTCAAAATACCACCAAAAGTGGATGATCACAATTTAAAAAACCTAAAATATGACAGCAGTTAATTAATGCACCCACTTAAAATATATTTTTTCCAAACTGTAAAATGACTCATTCCATTAATATGCCTTTTTGCTGAGAAAAGCTCTTCCGTTTGACTCAGGGATATATTATTTATAGCTGCATAGTAATTCTGCTGGTCTATGAATGATATCTAAGTAATACGGAGGGCAGATCTTGTGATTGTACGTTATGGGTCAGCTGCACTGCCGTAGCCTAAATGGATGAGAGAGAACGCAACATGCTATGACATCATGGGGGAAGTCAACCCTGAGAAAACAGCACTTCTAACCTGACATTTCACTTTGAGAAATTGCATAATTCAGGAAAAGAGCAACAACCATGCGGTACAAGGACATAGCCAGTCATATAGCAGCTGCATGCACATGCAGATGCAGTTGCAACAACACTGTACACACATTAGACAATGTGTAAATAAGAGAATTAAGACAGAGCATACCTTGCGGAGACTTCACCATATGTGCGAATCCTTGAGGAAGAAAATGAGAGTGATAGACAGAGAAAGAGAACACTTGAGAACACCAATACCAATATTGTTCAGGTATTGTGACTACTCATGGTTTGCTCACAGACAAACCATGGCTATCACACTTAAGCTGAAGCTTTCCACAAGAAAAAAGCTTCTCATAAAAAAAGAAAAGATTGACAATAAAAAAATGATCTTATTCAAAACAAATGTGTTAGCAATAATTAGGGCTGCCAATTAACTTAGTATGATTACATTTTACTAAATAATCATTCCCACTGAGCTGTTTATAAGTCACGGAATAAAGTGTTTTACTAACACCTTGGAGATATTTACCCACAAAGGTGATCAAAAACAGCTGGACAAAGCGTAACCACAAAAGGAACATATGCTATGTTTCTCACATGCAAATTTTGGCTTTCCTTCTTTTCTTTTCATTTCATTAGTTTTTTTTTTTTGTTTTTTTTTAGAGGAAATGTCTTGTAGACTAAGGGCTCATTCACACCGAATGTGTCTTTGTTTCTTAAAAACATGAGTCGTGGGTATCAGGAGTGGGTTAAAAAAGTGAAGCACATCATGATGTCTATGTGACGCTATTATGAACGTGATGTAATAACGACAATAATAGAACCAATTAAAAATAGAAAAATATTATGCTATGATAAGAAAATCTGGACAAAGCCAGAATGAGTGCCTCCATGATGTCCTCGATGCAATCTGTGACCATGATGACGTACTAGACCTGGTCCACTATCCAACCCAGGCTCATTCTGAAAACGTAGTTCAGCGGACGTTTCTGGAGGCCGAGGATTATGTTGCCGGAGGTACGTATGGCTGCATTTCAATTTTTTAAGCGAACGCAACCAGTGGCGGACTCCGATTCCTTTTGTGCTTGCCGGCCGACCACTTAACTCCGTGTGGAGGGCTTTCCCGCCGCAACCAGTTTGTCCGGTTAGCTCGTTGTGTAACGTCGGTGGACTCGAGGCGCAGAGAGGAGCTGACCACGACGACGTCAGGGTTCGAGTCGGGGGAAGAGCGGTTCCAGAAATCAGGTAAGAAAACCAAAACAAAATCCAAAAAATAAAGTGAACGAGTTCATAACAGGGTGTTACAAAAATCCGAAAACCTGGTAAAAAAAATCCGACGAGGGCTTTTCTTTTTCTGGACGGCTTTTGTAAATCGTTGGTTGGTTTTAGGGAAGGGTGGGTCAGCCGATTGGCCGGTCGCACGGTCAATCATTCTGTCATTCAGACAGGCAGACAGACAGACACATGGTCGTTCGACAGTAGCCTCTGGCGGGTTTATACGAGAACAGCGCGGGCACGAATGGTGCTCGCGAGAGACGTTCGAGATGCAAAAAAACTCACACATGCGGCATCTCACGGATTCGCGAAAACAAAAACTGCACAAATACATACCTCCAGGGACATATTTCACATTCTTCAGAAATGTCTGCAGGACTACGTTCTCAGAATGAGCCTTGGTTGCCATTGTCTGGTGGAGCTTGTACCGCCCACTAAGGTAACGCCCATGCTACTGTGATGGTTGGATTTATTGTAGAGGGAGGTATAGGCGATTGTCCATTACATAGTTGACCTGGATTTTATCAAGCTGCAGGCTGCAGCAAGGACTGTCTCGCCTCCTCTGCCATGACGGTAAATAAACCAGTTGTCATGCCAACTTTCTTCTATAAACAGAAGCTTGCAATGGTTGCCCCAACTCCAAGCTCTTCTAATTGGTTCATCGCTTTTGGACCTGACATTGATGGACTGTGCTACACGTGAAACATGAAGATCTTTCAACTTGACAGGGCATCTAAAAAATGCAACCCAGGATCATTATGGATATGCACCCCTGCATACTTTTCTGGAGAGCGCAAAATATGGCCTAGAAGGTGAGCTTTTTTTGCAGTTTTTGTTATTGCGAATGCACCAGAGGGCGCTGTGTAAACTTTGAGATGTCAAATTTCTCTCGCGAGTGGCATTCGCACTTGCTCTTCTTGTTTAAATAAGGCTGATGTTGACTTACTGACTGACCAACAATCCGAGGGGGGTGGTGGCTGCAGTTAGTCGCAACGACATGTAGTGCAAGCTCTGTGATTGGCGCTGATGAGTGCGGGTGGAACTGAGAGCCCGTTGAACAAGTGTTTACAAGTGTTGAGTCCTGTGAAGGAGCTCCAGGTAAAAAAGTTTTGTTTTGTATTTACCTTATAATTAAAGTTGTTGCACGTCCGTCGTTTCCTGCCTCAAAATGAGCGAGTTTGAGCCAATTGTACATTAAGGTAGCATTCAGAGAAAAACACCAGCAAAGAAACTCGACACAAAGGAACAAAAAAACCTCATTGCCAGCTAGAGTTTCTGAAGTATTACTGCAGAGCTACTAGGGGTGTCAAAATTAATTGTTTCTTCGGTGCACCGCGATGCAGATGCGAATAATTCGGTATTGATTCAGTAATAACCATAACCGGTTATTATTTAGTGACGTCATTTATGCTCTATGTCGCGAGGGAGGCGAGCACTGGTATTTACAACACTCAGCCAAGTCAGGGCCGGCCCGTGGCATAGGCACCATAGGCAAATGCTAAGGGCGCTGTATATCCAGTGGGACGCCAGAAATGAGCGCGCTTCAGTTGGTTTTGTTTTCGATTTTCCTGACACACTTTCAGTTATAGACGGCAATAACTCAAAAAACGCTTACCCTAAGAAGATCTAAAGTGTGTTTCCTACAGAAAAACAAAGCTGGTTATGTTTCACAGCTGTCTTTTTTTTTTTTCGCTCGACATTACGAGCACTGCTCCGTTTAAGCCCTCGCAGTCTGCGTTTGCTTTAGCCGGCAGAGCTCGCGTTGAGAGGAGCTCTCTGTAAGGGACCGTCGGAAAAGTGCTTATTTTTTTCCGTTTTTTTTTTTTTCGTTTTTCTGCTCCGCTCAGCGCGAGCTCTCCCTGTTGCAAGGGCTTAAGTGTGTTTGTTTGTGTGTGTGTGTGCGTGTGTGTATCTGTTTGTTTGATGCTGTCTATGTTTGTGAATGTGTTTGAATGAGAGACAGTGTGTTGCTGTGTGTCTGTGTGTTTATACAGACAGCATGTTATAGCCTCCCCCCTAAAATATAACACTATATATGGAAAGCATCGTCAATGCACCGTGATGCACCGGGATATCGAATTGAACCGAATCGATGGCATGATAATGGTAATCGAACCGAACCGTGAGACCAGTATAGGTTCACACCTCTAAGAGCTACACAAACAGCACGCAGAAGTATAAGTGAATGGCATCACGCCAAATGCGGAGGTCACACCAATCATGTACGCACATTTACAGCTTTGTCTGTATGCAATGTTTCATATTAATTCAACGCAAGTGAAGGCCCCTGGCTTCTGGAACCATTCTTCGCCAAACTCAATCCCCGTCATGACGGTTAGCTCCACTCACGTACACAGCGAGCCACTGGGCAAACTGGTATCAGCAGAAAAGCCATTCACACAAAGGTAAGTGGTCAGCTGGTAGTGCGAAAAGAATCAGAAGCCATCGGCGGCATCATACTGCCCCCTAGCGTTCGTTTGAAAGACGAAATCCAGCGATACGTACCTCTGGCTGCATAATTACTGCTCTCCAGAAATGTATACAGGGTGCGTATTCACAATGGGCTACGTTTAAAAAATGTGGTCCTCACATGCGTAGCGCTTCAAAAGATCCGAGTTGTGAGTGTAATGGTCAAACACATCCATAAAGTGCATGTTTACTTTAAAAAACGATAGAAAAGTAGCATGTTGGGAAAAAAATAATACATTCCGTGTGAATGGCCCCTAATTCTGTAAAAAGATTTTGATAAATTTATTTGATCAAATTTTTACTAATCACAAACTTTGGAATGGTAGGTTATACCCACATCCCACTATTCTCAATAATATTAATACAGTGCTCAGCATAAACAATATAAGTACTCCCCTCACAAATCTATCTTTTAAATTCATATTTTTAATAGGAGGCAATACAATATTATGTTTGTGCATGTACATTAGATTAGTTAGTATTGAAGTCTGGTGCTTATTTAACTAAATAACTTATTATAACAGTCCAAAAACTAGTACACTCAAATTTATATGTTAGAGAAAAATATTAAATACAAATTTTAAAAAGAGGAAAAATCAAGAGAAGAAAAAAAATTAAATAGTTGAAATATTTAGCTTGAATTTAATTTTGCTGAGCACTGTATAAACAGTTGAAACCAGAAGTTTACATACACTCTAAAAAAAGGAACATAACCATTTAAAAATGAATGTCTGATGGTAAATCATACTAAACGTTTAATATTTTAGATCCGTTAGGATTACCTAAATCATTTACATTTGCTAAATGCCAAAATAATAAGATTTGATAATAAGATAACATTTTTTTTTATTATTTCTAGACAGTCAAAATTTTGCATACATTTCCTTGGTATTTTTTAGGTTTGCTTTTAAACTGTATAACTTTGGTCAAATGGTTTGGTTATCCTTCAACAAGCTTCTCACAATAGTTTGAAGGAATTTTGGCCCATTCCTCCACACAGAATTGGTGTAACTGAATCAGATTTGTTGGTCTTGCTCGCACAAGCTTTTTCAACTCTGCCCACAAATTATCAATAGGATTGAAATCAGGGCTTTGTGATGGCCACTCCAAAACCTTCCGGCTGTTGTCCTTAAAGCACATTTTAACTAATTTGGCAGTTTGCTTAGGGTCATGGTCTGTTTGGAAGACCCATTTGTGGCCAAGTTTTAATTTCCTGGTTGATGTCTTGATGTGATGTCTTCAGTATTTCTACATAATGTTCTTTCTTCATGATGTCATCTATGCTGTGAAGTAGACCAGTCCCTCCTGCAACAAAACAGCCCCACAACATGATGCTGCCGCCCCCATACTTCACAGTTGGGATGGTGTTCCTAAGCTTATAAGCTTTTCCCTTTGTCCTCCAAATGTAACACTGGTCATTATGGCCAAACGGTTCAATCTTAGTTCCATCAGACGACAGGACATGTCTACAAAAATTATTCTTTTACCCAATGTAATTTAGCTAATTGTTATCTGGCTTTTTTTGTTGATTCTGGCTTGTTGATTTTCCCATGTTGTCACACAAGGAAGCAGTGTGTTTGAAGTTTTCCTTAAATACTATTCTACAGTTGTGCCTCCAATTAACTCAAATGTTGTCAATTAGCCAATCAGAAACTTTCAAAAGCTTGACACCATCATGAGCTTTTTCAGAGGTATAATAATCCTATTGTATGTAAACTTGACTTTCAAGAAAAGTTATAACAATTTCCCAAAACATCTCGCGTTATTCTGCTATTTAGCATAAAAGAAATGCATTTGATAATCCTAACTTACCTAAAAGAGAAAAGGTTTAGTCACATTAACATCTGACTTTTTTATGGTTATGTGCCTTTTTATAAAGTGTATGTAAACTTCTCGTTTCAACTGTCCATAATACATTTGATTGATTTTACTATTTATTTGTACTTGATTGACAGCCCTATTAGTATGTCACTGTAATAGTAGTATAATGTGTCACTTTCACACATTCAGCCTTTTCCAAAAATCATTTACAGTTACGTTACAACATTTTGTCAGCTTTGAGTTTGGTTTTGGCTTTTTCTATCACAAGTTTCTCAATAAAATGCAATTATTCCACATTGATATAATGACTTAGGAATTCAGACATACAAAGTTTTGTTGCAAGTGAAATCAGCTGCAAATAAACCGCGTTCTCCCATTTCATGAGAAAATGCAGGGGCGTTTAGTGATTATTAACATATTAACTGATTTGTGATTAACTGTTTTAAATACACTAATGGATTTCTAGAGGGAATGTTTGCACTGCGTGTCTTCACCTACTCAACGTGGGACTTGTAATGAGCTTGACTTAATGAGGTGTGGGAGCATTTCACCACAAACAAGCATTATGTTCACTGCTGGTACTCTGATAGCACTGTGACGTACAACTTTAAAACAACTACTATGATCGTCTGTCAGAAGTGATCAGTGTCAGTTTTAAACACTGTACACATATGAAAGTTGATAAGTGTAATTGATAGTGTGAAGTATATTATAGATAAAATACATACGTAAATATTACAGATGCACTGTAAAATCTAAAGTAACTTGCTGTAAATTAGTTTCAGCAAAATACTGTATTTACATTTACAGCATCATTTTTCTTGCTGTATTTGTATTTACAGATTTGTATGTATATATTTACTGTAAAATATACAGTCATTTTCACAATGCAACTTTAAAATACGGTAACATACTGTACAGGGTGGGCCATTTATATGGGTACACCTTAATAAAATGGAAATGGTTGGTGATATTAACGTCCTGTTTGTAGCACATTAGTATATGTGCGGGGGCAAACTTTTCAAGAAGGGTGGTGACCATGGTGGCCATTTTGAAGTCGGCCATCTTGGATCTACCTTTTTTTTTCAGTAGGAAGAGGGTCATTTAATACATTAATTTTATTGGGAATTTCACAAGAAAAACAATGATGTGCTTGGTTTTAACGTAACTTTATTCTTTCATGAGTTATTAACAAGTTTCTGACCACTTATAAAATGTGTTCAATGTGCTGCCCATTGTGTTGGATTGTGAATGTAACCTTCTTCTCCCACTCTTCACACACTGATAGCAACACCGCAGGAGAAATGCCAGCACAGGCTTCCAGAATCCGTAGTTTCAGGTGTTGCACATCTTGTATCTTCACGCCATAGACAATGGCCTTCAGATGACTCCAAAGATAAGGGGGTCAGACCGGGAGACCTTGGGGGCCATTCAACTGGCCCACGATGACCAATCCACTTTTTAGGAAGCTGTTTATCTAGGAATGCTCGGACCTGATACCCATAATGTGGTAGTGCACCATCTTGCTGGAAAAACTCAGGGAACGTGCCAGCTTCAGCGCATAAAGAGAGAAACACATCATCATGTAGCAATTTCAAATATCTACTGGCCTTGAGGTTTCCATTGATGAAGAATGACCCCACTATCTTTGTTGTCTATGGTGTGAAGATACAAGATGTGCAACACCTGAAACTACGGATACTGGAAGCCTGTGCTGGTATTTCTCCTGCGGTCTTGCAATCAGTGTGTGAAGAGTGGGAGAAGAGGGTGGCATTGACAATCCAACACAATGGGCAGCAAATTGAACACATTTTAGAAGTGGTCAGAAACTTGTTAATAACTCATGAAGGAATCAAGTTACGTTAAAACCAAGCACACCATTGTTTTTCTTGTGAAATTCCCAATAGGTTTGATGTGTCAAATGACTCTTTTCCAATTGAAGAAACAAAAGTTGGATCCAAGATGGCCGACTTCAAAATGGCCACCATGGTCACCACCCATCTTGAAAAGTTTGCACATATACTAATGTGCCACAAACAGGACGTTAATATCACCAACCATTTCCATTTTATTAAGGTGTATTTATTTAAGTGGCCCACCCTGTATAACTGCCCTACAGTAAAACACAGTTCATATTATAGTTAAATACTGTGTAATTTACAAAAATAGTTAACAGTGTATATATTCAATAAATACACTAAATTAACTTATTCAAAATCTATCCCTATTAATTATTCCAATACTTATTTCAATTGTGAAGTCTTATTTCCTAGGCATAATGTGTGAAAGTGACTATTACAAGAACAAACCATTATTTTTTTTTTTATTATTTGCACTTTACATGGTGAGTTTTCACAACCTAAGACTCACTTACCAGGGGTTTTGTTGACAGCTTTTGAGAAGATGGCACGAACGGGAAAGAAGAAAGTTCAACTGTTAGGCACGCTTTTGACTTTGCATGGTGGCTATCATGCAAAAGTTTCATTTACAGGCTGTTTTAGCATGCAAGGGATCAAGAATGCCCCTGTGCATGACTGCTACCAAAATTAGCAACTGAATAACAATGAAAAATAAACACAAATTCCTGTAGAGGAGAAAAGTTGTAATATCTGTTCCATTTTCTGAGAGAAACAGATTGACGTCATTGCTTCAAAACACTCCATCACATTGAGAATATTTCTGCAGAGATATCGCCTTGTCCAGGAAATGCCACAGTGTCACTCACATACTCTGGATGAGAACATAAATCCAAGCAGGTTACAAACCCTGCTGTCCAATATGGACTATGTGGATTTACGAAGTTGTGAGGTTTGTGGATTTTTGGACATGCCGTGAACACAAATAATTACTTTCACTGAAGACTCATATGTGTATAGCTAGCCAAGTAAATCACCATTGTTGTTTGATGTGTATGAATTATTGCTTATATATTTCTGTAATTTTGGTTTATGAGTAAACCAATTTAAATGAATGCACACTGATACCATGAAGCTTATATGAATCGCAAGAATTCAGATCAATCTGACCAAACAATTAAAATTATTTGATATTTATTTATTGGGATAAACTCCTGGAGATGTACCATCTCATTTTAAAGGGGGTCCCACAATTAATCACATAATAATATCAACAAAAGACAAAACAAAACATAACTTACACAACATCCAAAAAACATAACATGTTTCAAAACTAAATAAATAAAAAACAAAAATAAAAGGGGGGGGGGGGGGGGGGGTTGGCGAGTAGTATACATACAGTTAAAGTCAGAATTATTAGCCCCCCTTTGATTTTTATTTTATTTTATTTAATTTTTTTCCCAAATGCTGTTTAACAGAGCAAGAAAATTTTCACAGTATATCTGGGGATATTTTTTCTTCTGGAGAAAGTCTTATTTGTTTTATTTTGGCTAGAATAAAAGCAGTTTATCTATTAGCTGATGTCATCGACTCGGTCCCAGTCATTCCCCTCGCTGGCCAGCAGAGGCCGCCATCCCCGGACTTCTAAGCATTACATCATCCACCTAGACTGATTGTGCACACACCTGATCTGAATCCAGTTAACGACCCACACTCCCCATATAAGCCACACTCTAACACCAGGTCATTGCGAAGTCTTGTTCAGCCACGGCAAACATTTCTGAGCGTTAATCCCTGCCTGATCTTCTGTGCATTACCCTGGACTGTTTCTGACTTTGTGTTGTCTTCTGCCTGCCCTCGACCCACGCTTGTTATACGGACTCTGTACCACGCTGCCTGCCCACGACCCACGCTTGTTATACGGACTCTGAACCACGCCGCCTGCCTCTGATCCATGCCTGGTAAATCACTCTGTGTCTGTCAGCCACCAGCCCCCCGATCTATATTGAGCATTGTTGACGTGAGTTCGCACTTTAGTGCGTATTGGATGTTTGTGTTTGAACTGTGTCTAATAAATACTGCAAAATGGATCCCTCCGTGTCAGTCGCCACGTTACAGCTGATAACCCCTGATAACGCCCATTTGATAACTCCCCCCAACAAAAATAATATATATATTAAGTTAAATTACAGTAACAGGTCACATGAGTGGACTGAACATGAAGTTGTCCCTAAAAAATTCTGTTATTTCAGCTCACTTTAAATAAGTAGTTTAAATGTGCTTGATAAACTTCCTTCCTCTCTGGCTAAAAAAAAAAAACTATTATGATTTACAGAAGGCCATACAAAACCAAAACTTGCCATCTGTGTGCCTAAAGGGGACTTATTATGCCCTTTTTACAAGATGTAAAATATTCTCTGATATCTCTACAGTGTGTATGTGAAGCCCAAAATACCACACAAATAAATGTTTTTACTATTTATGGGGGGTGGTGGGGGGTAATTCATACTTCAACTGTATGTGTTAGCACAGCAGCAGATTCAAAATGCCTGCTTCTCACTCAGGGCTGCTTATGCTAATGAGGCATAAGTGAGTGGGACTTTCCCTCTCCGATGTCATATACAGGGATAAAGTCAATCAAACGGTTTCAGAAGTCTGTTTTTATAAAGCGAGACTATACAAATAATAAAGTAAATGTTAACACTACAGTCTGGTTATATCCACACAACTGTGTTTAAACCCTTTATAAAGTAATTTTGCATAATAGTTCCCCTTTAAGTCTGTTTTGCTGAGCTTTTGTGTCTCTTTCCTGTCGCCCTTTTATGGTTCCGACCAGAAGATGATCAGTTTATATGTTCAGTAATAGCTGGTCTGGCTGGCTTATTACATTTACAGCGGGCTTTTAGGGCACACTTGTCAAGCTTTCAGGATTCTTGGCTCACAGTACTTTTGACAAATTCAATTGACAGAGACAGCCTGAAGATGTCAATGTTTAACTGCATAGTTAAATCAATCAGGATATATTGTGTTTAGAATAGAGGGTACTGGCCCACCAAGCTTCCTAAATACCTAAAACAGCAAGATATTCTTGATCAACCAGAAGAAAGCTTCTCCAAGAAAATGAATGAATATTTATTGTAAGACCAGAGCTTGATGTTAACACCTACCAAATGCAGGTAGATTTTAGCGGTGGCGGGTAAGACAGACACTCCCACTAGCCACTTTGGCTGGTTGAAAATCATTTTCCCGGATAATAATTCCTAAAAGCAGGGTTCGACAATAAGGATGGTCCAATATGCATGCAAAGGCGATCTAAGAATTGAGTATCAGAATTTCACGGTACGGTAATACCTCGGTATGAATGTCACGGTACGGTATTTATTGAATCATTTACAGGAAAAACAAAACTTTTGAAAATACTCCAAAAAAGTGCCAAAAGTGTCAATGACATACAAATTAGCCATCTATCTGTAAGCTTTGAAACAGGAACTTCAATTTTAATAACAAAAAAATATTAAACCATGTAAAAAAAATAAAATTTCAATTTAGTATTGTTGAAAACTCATAACATTCAACATTTAATCACTCACTCACTTAGATAGAGATGGGTTTAAAGGAAAATGATCATATAAATATAATCTGGTAAAAGCTGGTATCTCTGGGCATTTACAATGTCCCCTGCAACAGAAAAAACCCCTCTCATTTGGGACTGAGGTTTCTGGGACAAGAGAGATATGACTTGGCCCAGGTTGACAGCAGTGGGTAACGTTGTGCATTGTCTTTCCCCCCTTTGAGAGGACAAACCAAGAGTGAGATAGAGGTCTCATGTCTGCATCAATCTGAACAGTGTGCTGACAACCCCGCTATTCAGTACGCCCGCGACAACACAGCTGATAAGAACTTGCGCAACAACACAGCTGATAAGAACTCGCGCGACAACACCGCTATTCAGTACGCGCGCGACAACACAGCTGATAAGAACTCGCGCAACAACACCGCTATTCAGTACGCGCGCGACAACACAGCTGATAAGAACTCGCGCAGCAACACAGCTGATAAGAACTCGCGCGACAACACCGCTATTCAGTACGCGCGCGGCGACAACACCCGCTATAGAGTTTTCCAGCTCTTTTTCATCCCCGCTTCTAGCAGCACACTCCATTTCCGCATTACTGGATCTGTAGCGACAACAGACCGCAAGGGATGATGGTCAAGCATGGGCTGATGGGAATTGTAGTTTTCGCTACCTCCCGTTCGCTTCATTCCCCTGAGCAAATTTTCTCAGAAGACCTATAGTTTTACCGAGTCATGCGACTTCAGTAATATCGAAAAAAATTAATATTGCGGTATGACGGTATTTACAATACCGTTACATCCCTATTACACAGTATATTTTTTACCTGATTTCTTTTATGTTAAAGTGGTTTAATTATCATTTTTTACAACAACGTTGCTTTAATGGAAGATTAAATCCCCACTTATGTGTAATTAACTGCTGATCTGGTACCTTAAGCCAGGACAGATTACTGTGCATGTGTTTTGTTAAATTAAAAGTATAGTATACAGCAAGGCCTGGGCAATTTGGCAAAAAAAATAAATTATCTAGGTTTTTTTATAAAGTTTGAGCAATTCACGATTTCGATTTATTTATTTTTTTATTGTGTAACTAGTCAACTTAAAACATTACAACAACATGACTGAAGTAAGCTTCTCTTTATAAGTAACTTAAAAAAAACATCTGGTTAAGGAACATTGTATTTTTAAAGGCCATGCCGTACATAAATTGATCAACAAGGTGTAAATGAATGTAAAACAAATTCACAAGTTAAATAGCGTTGCAGAAGATTTTAATAAAAATATTTGTGTAAATATTGCACTTGCAGGAATACAGAGGTATTTTTTTGCAAGTTTTGCTGAGCCTAGGAAAGATCGGCTGTCAGCTCAGCTTTGACTTTGTCTTCTGATTGAATGACAGGTTGTAAAGCTGCTGCCTTTTTCTTAAAAAGATACAGTGGAAGTAAAGGACTGAACATGGAAACTTTAAAGCCTAATTTAACCCAATGTGTGAAGTTGTGGACGTATAGCAGGAGCAAATACAAGCACCAGATGTGTGTCTAATATAAAATAGTATATTTAATCTATTTTTCTTCTTTCCCCTTTTAAATATCGATCATTTGATGCGCTTTGCACCACTCTCTGTAGTATGCTGCCTGATCTGTCTGGTTTTCGACTAGGTCCGCTAAATGACGTCATGGGGGCGGGTACTTTCATTTTCACTTCTACAGCTGTCAGCTGCTCACCTCTGCTCGTATTCAAACCAAAAGATCAGCGCGGTTCGACCTAAGATCGTTGCGGTTTTTCTTTTGGTTTTTTTTTACGTCCTTCATACATGTGTAGATCGAGTTTATTGACTTGATGAGGGCTACATGACAGTTCACACTTTAAAAGACAGTCAAGCAGGTCGCACATTCACATGATATTTAACATGAAACTAATCAGATGGCGCTCTGTGATGCGGCTGAAATATGAACTGCGT